ACCCGGCTCAAACCGACCTTCGGCAGCAAATAGAACGAAATCGGGCTCGTCAAGAGTCATCCGAACTTGAAACATTGCGACGGAGAGTTTCCGAATTGGAAAGTCGACAACAGGCACCCGAAGACCCACCTCGGCGGGCCTCAACATCGGCGCAAGTATATCTGGAAGCCGACTCCCCTCTCACGCCAGAGCTTACTTCGGAACCTGTACCTGGGAAAGTCAAAGTCCCCCAGATTGGGCTATACGATGGAACGTCAGACCCTGACTCACACCTCGGTCATTATACTTCGTGGATGGATCTGCATGGGGCCTCAGACGCATTCCGGTGTCGTATGTTTTCTCTCACGCTGGGGCCTCGGGCCAAAAAATGGTACCATTCTTTACCTCCTCACTCCATTTAGAAGTGGCAACAATTAAGGTCGGCTTTCCGGTCTCATTTCATCAGGGCTCAAGTATGCCTAATTCCAAAAGAGTCGCTCACAAACGTAACTCAAAAGGATGATGAAAGTGTCAAGGATTATATCGCCCGATTTAATGACCGAGTTCAAAACATGGAACCTTGTCACCCCGAAACCTTGCTTGTCATGGCTATTGCTGGACTGAAACCGAATTCGATTTTCCGCTGGACGCTGTGCCAAAATAAACCAAACACTTTTCAAGAATTTCTTGCTCGAGCTCAGCAACACATCATAGCTGAAGAAGCCATGTCGGTCCCCGATTTTAACTTTAACCCGAAGTCTTCTAAGGCAGGGACCAACGAGAAGAAAAAGAATAAATTTTTCGACAAGCAAAGCAAGACACAGTTCAGGGGACCTCCCCGAGGAGACCCCAATGATCCTGAAGTTCGAGCAGCCCCAAAACAGTACGCTACCGATGTGAAGTCCGGTTATCAAACCGTATACTCCGCAGGGGCAGCTACCATATACGAAGAGATCAAAGGAAAAGGCATTCTGCCGGACCCCAAACCACTTCGGATGCCCGAGGAGAAGTTGGACAAGTCCCGGTATTGTGATTATCATAAATTACCAGGGCACAATACTGATGAATGTTTAAGTTTGTTGGCTGCCCTGTTACGTTTAATCGGTCATCCGCAGCTCAGGAAGTTTTATCGCAACACCGACTCCCAGAGACGAGGTCCAGGGCGTCAGATTGAATCTTATGATGAAGATGACGAGGAGGACCGATGCGCCATGCCAAAACGCATCCGGCAAGGAGACAAGGAAGTATTTATGTTCACCTCGGAAACACCCAATTCAGATTTTGCTGGAACTGTTCGGGGACGTAAACGAGATCGATCTCCTGAACCGATGCAAATCACCGTCCACCGTGTCAACACCAATAACTCCCGGAGTACATTGTCCCGTCGACAAATTAAAGCCTATGCCCGACAAGCGTATAACTCCGGTAAACAAGTGTACACTACTGATTTGAGAGACATCCTCAACAATCGGAACTGTCCCATAACCTTTAATATGGAGGATGCCAACCACTTCGCACACCCTCATTCCGATGCACTCGTTATCACTGTCCCTATATGCGGAATTCCCGTTCACCGCGTTATGGTAGATACTGGGGCCTATTCGAGTATTTTAATGTTAAAAGCTTTTGACAAAATGGGTCTTGATCCCGCCGACATCCGACCCTGTAATGATCAAATACAAGGATTCAACGGAAGTATTTCGAAGCCCATCGGTGAGATTACTTTACCCGTTAGATTTGGCATTTCGGAGAACGTCACTAAACTCGTCATGGAGACTTTCAAAATTCTTGATATCAACAACGAGTACAACGCCATCATTGGCAGAACAGCGTTGTACAAACTTCGGGCTGCGGTTTCGATCTTTCATTACGCGCTAAAGTTCCCGACTACACGAGGAGAAGGAACACACTTTGGAGACCAGAGAGAAGCTCGAGAACTCATTACATTCATACCGCCCAACGGAGTCCATTCCACCTCGACGAGCAATAGTGAAAATTCTCCACCACAAAACGCCTCGAATAACACTGTGTCCGAAGAACCAAATAGCAACATCGGCGCTCTTCCCACCTCGTATCCTTTGACCAAAGACCGAGGTCGCCGGCTTGGAAAGGAACCTATCCTTGAAGAAGATGAGTTGGACCCAAGAGCCCAATTTAAATAAAAAAGCCGAAGTGATCGAGCCGAACCTGGAGAAGACGTAGAGTTAATATACGTCGATGAACCAGTCTTCCACAAATCGTTGCGCATCGGGAGTCATCTCCAAGAGCCTCTTCGGTCAGAACTTATTTTATTTCTCAAACACAATTCTGATGTTTTTGCCTGGAAACACGAAGATATGAAGGGCATCTGTAACACCCCTCCTTATCGTAATTCAGAGTGCGCAAAAATTCGCAAAGTTATTTAAAAATAAAGCCTTTTTACTTTGCGAAAACTGATTCGGGGTGCTACCTTAAAAACGTGACTTAATTTGGAAAACCGTTGGTTTAATTTTAATAAATCATCCGGTTACTGAAAGCATAAGTTCTCAAAAGTTCGTCAAAATATAAGCTCGTCAAAATATGAATACGTCAAAAGACATCAAAACATCGTCATAAGTCAACAAAACATCATTAGCGGAAGCGTAAGTCATCATCATAAATATACAGTCAAAAACACAAATATCCTGAAGCCTCCATCACGTCACGCTCCCGGCCCGACATCCTGACCTGAAAAACATGATAAAACTGGGGAGTGAGCACTATGGCACTGTGCTCCGTGGAAACTCATACTAATGTAAAACATCGAAAATAATAACAACATTATGATATCAGTATATACATAACCTCAACCTCAAGCCGGTAATAACATGAACATGAATCTGAAATCGTCACGCAACCGTGACCCTGAAATTGTCACGCAACCGTGACCCTGACCGCTACCTCATCTGCCGGCAAAGCCGGACACCATGTGCACACTCTAGTGGGCAGACTAGGGCCACTAGAACCCAGAATGGACCGGCGACCATTCCGAGCGGATACCTCAACTGAAATACATACCTCAAACATGGTACCGTAATTATAATCAATGTAGTACTTAGTCTGACTCCCCACCTGAACTGAACGGTAGTGCGGATGCTTGATCAAACTGAAAATAATATAAACAATTACTAATGACTATGCTCAGACTGTTAACTTAACTGATAAATTTCGTTAAGATGCTCTACTTAACCTGAAGTGATATTTAGACTTAACCGGAATAACCGGAACTGACTTAACATGAACTGATTGGACATGAATTTACTGAACTGAAATAGTCCCAGAAATTTAACTGAAAATGTCCTTAAAATCATAAACCGGGCTGAACACTTAAACATGAACCGAACCGGATTAAAATGAGACTGAACCAGTCCAGCCGGTCTGAACCGGTC